TCTGACTGGAGCAGTGTACAGGAGTCGGTATGCGGAAGCAGCTGATCATTCAAGGTAACCCCTCTTTTTCAAGCTCGAGTGGAACGGCTTGAAAAAGAGGGGTTACCTCGAAATGCGTCGCTCTTCTCTCCCTAAACCATCTCCATCCCATCACTGATCTGATCACCCGCCGCCTGTCAGCTGCTTCCGCATACCGACTCCCGTACACTGCTCCAGTCAGACTTGACAGAGACCGAGCACTGATACCCACAGCCGCGGCCACAGCAGCCCAGTCTGAGACAAGCTGGATCCTCTGATGCTGAAACTACTCTTGTCTCTCCTGAAACCCCGGCTATAGCTGGTCCCACTATTGCTGCCCCTCTTTCTCCAACTTCTCCATCTTGTAGCGCAAGTCTCTCACACTGTCTCTCTACCTCAATCTCCGACTATAACATCTGAAACCTCTCCTTCCTATTCCAACGCTAACTATGAACTTTTCTCAACTGGGGATTTACAAATGCTATGTGAGTCAAGGGGGATTGCTACTAGGAGACAAAACCGTATGGAGTGTATAAGAGCATTAAGGAGTTTTGATACCGCTGTCCCTATGCTACATCCCTCCTTGGGGGGCTTATTTCCGGGAACAACTGTGGGTGAGACTGTTTATGTTAGCCCACCGTTGAAACCACCCCCACAGTATATACCTGCCCCTGGTACTTATCCAGGCCGGGTGCAGCAATACGAGAGAGCGCCTGATGCTAACGGGGAAAGGATCCAGGGGGAGAGGGTGGTGTGGCATGTTCCTTACGGAGTTCTGTACGGCCCTACTGAGGAAACTTCCAGAATTGTATGGGGCCACCTCCACCATGGACATAATGAAACTGAGCCAAAATCCTGAAGAGGAATGCGCTTGTTTTTGGCGTCGCCTGAAGCAGACTGCATTAGATGCCGATCTAACGGTTGGTCCTGATGCAGCAGCCGAAGGCCAGAGTCTTACCGCAGTACATCTCATGTTGAGGACAAAATTCTTAGAAGGGACCCATACTAAAAAATTCGGGACAGGCTAGTATTAGCCAGGCCTGAATTTCGTGAGATGTCCATGACAGCCCTCCTATCCACTCTTTCTGCTATAAAGAGAGAAATGGATCGGAAGAAGCAGGAGAAAACATCTAAGGTTTTTGTTTCCCAAACCCCTTACACAGAACGACCCATAGAGCAAAAAGACAAGCGAGGGAACCAAGGGTCAAGAGATGACACTCAACCCAGGAAGGTACCGGTTTGCTATGGGTGTGGAAGGAGAGGCCATATAAGACGTGACTGACGGGACAAGCTGGTCCGCGGGGTAAATGGCAGTTTATCCCGGACGATCCAGCGACTCTGGTTGTAGGGATGGCTGACAACACCTATGATTCATCATAGGACATTGGCAGACCGGTGTCAGCCCGCATCAACGTATTTATCGAGGAACTAAAATACCCCCTCCCTTGCCTCATTGACACCGGCGCGGCCAGAACCGTTTTAAAATCTAAAGATCTCAGAGGCAAGGTTTCCTTCTCGGGTGAAACAACACCAAACGTAGGTCTCACGGGTCAGACAGTGTCCTTACAAACAACTGAACCTCTCCATTGCAGGCTAGGGCAGCACACAAAAGCCATTAGGTCTGTACTAGTGTCGGATGATGTTCCCATTAATTTGTTAGGAGCTGATATTTTATCAGAAATACAGGCAGTCATCGAGTACACGCCAACGGGTATTGTGGTCAGCAGCGCATTGTCTGATGAACGCTTATGTCCGATGATAGCGCTACCGTACCGAATACAACTCCCCGGTTGTTTCCTGGAGCTGGATGTACTGGCAGAGGTGAATCCAAAGGTCTGGGTGAGCGATAAGTATGATGTGGGTCTTCTGCCAGTTCCGACAACAACGATTAACATCAAACCAGGAAGTGTTTTACCCCGGTTACCGCAATACCCCCTTGAGTGTTGCTCAGATGGATAGTCTTAAGATCCAAATAGACCGATATCTACAGATAAAAGGTCCTAACACCAACTAAATCGCCTTGTAACACTCCGCTATTCCCAGTGGCCAAAAAGACAGCTAAAGGCCAGGAAACAACATACCGATTGGTACATGATTTAAGGGCTCTGAACAAAATTATTATTAGTGATGCTCCTCTTTGCTTTGCTAGCTTCTATACCACCAAATGCAACATTTGTCACTGTCATTGATCTAACAAATGCATTTTTCTCAGTACCACTGGACCCCCAGTGCCAGTACCTTTTTGCTTTTACATTCCAGGGTCAACAACTAACTTGGACACGTCTCCCTCAGGGGTCGGTGACTAGTCCCTCGGAATGCAGTTGCAAGCTTAAGATCGTGTTTGATCAGTGGGCCCCGGTTGATCCAGGGGTGGTACTGCTGCAGTATGTGGATGACTTACTACTTTGCTGTCCCACGCGGGAGGCTTGTTATCGGCATACTGTATCATTGCTTAACCATCTGGCGTCCACGAGTAATAAGGCTAGCAAGGAGAAACTACAGTTCTGCAAGGAAAAGTTTATCTTTTTAGGACATTGCATATCTCAGGGTACCCGACATCTAACCACCCAGAGAGTCCAGACCCTGAAAGACCTCGCAACACTCGACAATTGAGAGCCATCTTCGGACTTATATCAATTACTGCAGAGATTGGATCCCTAACATATCATCCAAATTAGGGCCCCTTTATGAGGTAACATCCTCCTACAGGATTTGACCCAGGAACTCTCCAAAGCACCTGCCTTAGGTCTGCCCAACTATGACCTCCCCTTCTATCTTTTTTGCCATGAAAATCAGGGCCACGCAACTGGAGTACTGACCCAACTACATGGGTCCAGATACCAACCCATCATGTACCTATCAACTGCCCTAGATACAGTCATCCGAGGCTCACCGGGATGTCTACGAGCCGTGTCCGCCTGCGCTGTACTATTACAGAAGGTAGGTGACATAGTCTTGGACTCCCCGTTGACCCTCTATACTCCCCATTCGGTGCAGGAGATCCTGAATCAGGCCCAGACCAAACACCTCTCTGCTGCCAGGTTGACTAGGTACGAAGTGGCTCTCCTAACACCTACTAACCTGACTCTAAGACGATGCACCATTTTGAACCCAGCGTCTCTTCTTCCTGTTATTAAGGAGGAAGAGAAGGGGGGAGATAATGGTGTGAAAGATGACAATTTTCCAACTTTTACTAACCATCCTAACCTCTCAACTTCTAACCAATTTTCCAACTTAGTAGGGGATCACTTTGAGGACCACCACGACTGCCTTTCTTTGATGGAACTTGAGTCAACAGCCATCAGTCCGGTGAGGGAGACTCCCATCCCAGAGGCCAAAAACCTTTTTGTCGATGGTTCCAGGTATTTCACCCCAGACGGTAAGCCACACACTGGATATGCTGTAACTACAGTCAGTGAGGTTGTGGAGAAAGGATCTTTGAACTCACACATGTCAGCACAGGAGGCTGAGCTGTGGGCACTGGCAAGGGCTTGTGAGATCCACAAGGACCAGATGATTAACGTCTATACAGACTCTAGGTATGCTTTTGGGATAGCACATGACTTTGGTCCAATCTGGAAAGCCAGAGGGTTTTTGACTAGTTTGTGGAAGTCAGTGAAACATGCGGAGTTGATCGATAGGCTGTTCGTTGCCTTCAGCCTGCCACACGAAATAGCCATTCTGAAAGTGAAGGCACACACAGCCGATCGGACCCTGGAGGCCGATGGGAACGCCTTAGCAGATAGAGCTGCCAAGGAAGGTGCTCTGAACCCCTCGGTAGAGACCCGGATGCTGGCCGTCCCTTCTAATGTGTCTCTGGAGGAGTTTAAGAAACTGCAGAGGCAGGCAGAGAAGCAGGAGAAGAGAAAGTGGACAGCTCTGGGGGCTACACAGGGTCCAGATGAGATCTGGGGTCTGGGCAACAAATGGTGTTTGCCAAGATCACTTTTTTCAATGATGGCCCATTCGAGTCATTATCCAGAACATCAGTCAAAGATGGTTATGTGTGCGCAGGTAGAAGTGCAATGGATTGCTCCTGGGTTCACTACTGCAGCAACCAACTTTACAGCTTCTTGCCTCATCTGTGCTTTGCAAAACCCTGGCAGAACTGTGAGACCTCCAGAACGGCATTCGCCCAAACCGAAATATCCCTTTCAGCGCATACAGATAGACTACATTACGTTGCCAAGGAGTGAGCCGTTCGAGCATGCCTTAGTCTGTGTGGATATGTTTTCCGGCTGGCCGGAGTCATGGCCTGTTCGATGCGCCAATGCCACTACCACAGCAAAGAAGGTCCTGTCTGAGATAGTGTGTCGCTGGGGCCTGCCTGAAACGATCGAGTCGGATCGCGGCTCTCACTTTTTTAGGTGGCCGGAGACTGCCAGATGACCAGCTGGGAGCGCCGCCCACCGGAGCAGCAGTGGCGCGACGCTCAGCGAGGTAAGTAAGAAAAAAAAAACCTGCAGCGGCGAGTCAGCGCTGGTCCGGCGAGAGTGGGGGTTCTAATTTAGCTGGCCGGCACCTCTGAGCCACCTGGAGCTCCTCCCACCGGACCAGCGCTGACTCGTCGCTGCTCTCTCCAGTGTTCGAACACCGGCAGAGTGAGTGAGGACAGGGGGAGGGGGGGCACTATTAAGCAGAGTATATTTGTAAATGTATTGTCTGCACTGTATTAGCAGTATATACTCCTTTATGTACCACATACAGAGTACACACTGCTAATACAGTGCAGACAATACATTTACAATTATACTCTGCTAACATGAATGGAGTCACCTGGCCCTTTAAGAAAAAGTATCGGCCAGTACATGAGGGGATGTACTTGTACTTGGGCCTGAATAAGTGGCATCGGGACATCCCTATCCGATGCCACTTATTCAGGCTCAAGTACAAGGGTGGAAAAGGTGCTTTCCCTTTTTGTTGTGTGCTTTATTTTTCTTGCTTTAAAGGGGGACTAATTCAGTAGCAATGTTATAATTTACCTTAGTCACTGCATACTCTATAGTGCCATTGTCTTCTACAGATAAATCCTTAAGCTTTCCAAAAAATGTTTCATCATAAGGTCCATCCAACAGCAGAGTGCTTCTGCAAAGAAATGTATACACATTGTTAAAAGCATATAATGGATCTTTTGATCTGTGTCAGAGTAAAAATGGCTTCAATATCAGAAATGCTCTATACATATTCCACTGTTCGTATGTAGTCTGACATTGCCACTGTCTCCTATTTCATGTACATTTCTGAACCACATACCCCGTGAAGTTCAAAATCTCCACTTTCCTATTTTTTTTTATAGCTGTCAATTTTTTAGGTCTAATTAAAAAGTCTGTGTACGTAAATTAAACCACCAAAAAAGAACTGGAAACCTGCTTCAGACATGCTGGACGTAACAAAAAATTGCTAATTGCTAGATGCAGAAGCATGCCCTAACCCAGGGGTAGGCAACCTTGGCTCTCCAGCTGCGCTCAAACTACAAATCCCATAAGGCATGGCAAGTCACAGGCATGACTCCCAGAGGCAGAAAGCATGATGGGATTTGTTGTTTCAGCACAGCTGGGGAGCCAAGGCTGCCCTAACCTATAGAAATAAAAGAATACAAATAAACAGAAGAACATTACTACATTTTTATTACAGGTAGGATATAGCCCAGTTAATCAAAAAAGAGGAGTCAAAGGGGAAACGCCCTTACAAGCAGTAAGGGAGATCAGGATAATAAGTGTATATTAAAGGGCCTGGACTGGTGGTGAGAAATTCTATGTTATATTAATTAGAAGCAATGATAGGATTTAAAAAAAAAGCATTTTCATGAACGAGTCAGGCAAGTTCTTCATAAAAAGAAAGAAATCAGTTAGTATACACATGTAACTGTATTAGGAGTAAAGAAGATAGACTGATGGTAAGTGGGAGGAGAGGAGAGAGGCGGGATAGGGGGAAGAGAAAAGAAGATTTAAGTATACAAAAAAAAAAGGAAATGGGGTTTAAAGAGGCACATACCATTGCAAGGTTTTTAAAGATACAAAACATATAATTTATTAATCCATATGTACCCTGATTACAACATAGTACTAATTCATATAAAAGTTAAAACCCAGAGAGGATCCACAATTTCATCATTCCTTCTTATGCAGCCAAATTACATACAAATACCAATATAGTGCTTCCCATTATTAGTCATTGAGGATTCTTGTATGTTTGATCATTTCAACTATTCCAAGGCTTGCATATTCAAGTTGCCTAATCATCCTTCCCTGGCACCCCATATAACCACCCACCACTGACTTGAAATCTCTCCTTGGCCACTTCACTCAATGAGGCCCTTCCCCTGCCCGTTGACACACATCCACCCCAAGCTGCCTCACAGCTATCCACCTCACATTCCTCCCCAGACACACATCACCTCACCAACTGCTGACGCACATTCCAACCTGGCTGACTCACATCCCTCCATGGCCACTTTGCCCCACCTCCACTAATACACATATTTGCCCAGTCACCTCACACCCACTGCATTTCCAGGCACAGCCCTTAATGGATGCCACACACACCCCACTTTAGACGCTTATCCCTCCATGGTTGTCTAACTCTTGTCCCACACACCAATTCTCATCCTTTTCCAGCTATGCCACCATCTGAAGAGAAACTTGATGCTATCCAGCCTCCCTATACTGAATGCTTTCTAAATTTTAGATGTGCCACCTATCCCCTTTTTCTAGCCGACAGCCAACAATGCACAATCATCCTCCTCTCCTGCACATTTAGCCCGGAGTCATACGCTCTACAGTTCTTCTCTGCACATGCTTGTTAACTGTCATACTACCTTCTTCACTCCTCTTCCGCACGTACTGGCCAATTTCATACCCTCTGCAATCATCTTATTCATATACGGTTCACTATCATGCCCTCAACACTTCTCTTCTGCACAGACTACCTGCTACCATACCCTCTGCACTTCTCACCTGCACATACTGTCCCACATCATACCCCTCTTTTCTGCACATATTGCCCACTGTCATATCCTAACTTTTCTTGTTACCATCTACTGTCATACCCTTTGCATTCCTCCCCTGCACATACAGCCCACTGTCATACTCTTCGCCATCTCTTTCCATCCCTCTCCGGTTTGGAAACTCACGATACCTGTCTTTTTTCCCCAGGCTCTCTGAGGTTTGCTGTGATTTATCATCCTCCCAGCCTGGTATAATGCTTCATTGATGACTTCTCTGCCTGGCTCTGTTTTCTCTTCTGAAATACCCTCTGTGTATTTAACAACCCAGTTAATGTTAACACTCCAGCAACCTCTCAACTCCTCAGTCTAATGACTTCTTTTGACCTGATGCAATGGACAAACACTTCTGCTACTGACTACCTCTACAACAGAATCTTACCACTATCCTGCCCTACAACAGCTCGCTCTTCTCTTCTGATCCCTGGACACACTTGTTCCCCTCATAACACACAGAACTAGGCCCCAAGTGCTACAACCTTGGCAAACTGACCAACACCAGAAGTCTCAGGAGACATAGCCAGGGCCGGCCTTAGGCCTTTAGGTGTCCTGTGCGAGAAAGCTTTACAGCGCCCCTCAGTGACCGCACCCTTCAGTGGCCACCCCCCGTAACCACACCCATTTTCCCCAATATCCGCACAATTTAAAGACTCCTATTTTGTTAAGCAGCAAAGAAACATATCAAAAAGTATGATAAAAATAAAACTTTTATTAAAAGGTATTAAACTTGTAGGCACAGTATAAGTATTCTTATCAAATAAAACAACAGAAGGCAAACAATAAATGTCAAACTACAATAGAGTCTATAAAAATAAAGTGTCAGATGCAGCAGAGGGCGGGTACAATAGCCAATTTGCTATTGGCTATTGCAAATTGAAATAGCCAATAGAAATCTAGCAATGCATTCCTATGGGCAAAAAAAGTTTTGTTTTTTTTTTGACGCACAATAGTTTTCTATTTTTATTTTTTAACTATTTTTATGTTCTGCTTGGTCCCACAGAGAGTCTGAGCAGAACAGCCGAGCCGAATGCCGCTTAGCGGCATTCGGCTATTCACTCACTGCTGTTCGGCATGTATAAGAATAGACCGAACAGCAGCGAGTAGCCTGTCGGAGGTTGGGCTTAGCCGATCCAGATGTTGGATCAGCTGAGTTAAACTCCTTCTGCCCTTCTGGTCGGCCGAACATGCTGAGCATTATTATTTATTTTTTTACTGTTGGGGGAGCTTCGTGGAAATATTAGGAGTCCAAACAGACCCCTGACATTTCCATTTTTAAATAGAAAAGAAATTGAGGACACCAAATCCTCAATTTCTTATTCAGCAGCCTCAGCACTCAATCAATGGGAAGCACTCAGTACAGAGGCTCCTCCCATTCATTCAGAAACTGATGAGAGAAATATTTACTATCAGCTGTTTCTGAATGGGGAGGAGCCTCTGTACTGACTGCTTCTCCCCATTGAGGAAATCTTGAATGAACAGGCTGTGATGTAAATCACATGCTGTTCATTCATAACTGGGCACACATAGTACTACATCGGGTGGCTTCGGCCCAGTTATTTACAAAAACCGTAGTGATCAGACGATCGCTCCAGTGTTTGTCCTTCTCACATGGAGGACCAGTAAATATCAATGATATTGTTTGAGAATGTGCGGAGGCCATGTTGGCCACCGGCGTGTTCTGTGAATGCGTGCCACCATCTTGGAGGCAGGGAGCATGACGTTACATGACGCCATGCATACGTGGCGTCAGGTGACGTCACACGCCGATGACGTCATCAATGATATTTACCGATCCCGCGCTCTGCCACGCACAGAGCCGCTGTCATCCTGAAACTGACAGGATAACAGCGGCTCCGATCTCCTCCCCGCTCGGCCATCCTGACAGCTGCGGGCGCGGCTTCTCTCCCCCTCACCACTTCGCCATCCTGACAGCAGGCAGCGCTCCCTCCTGCGCCACCCCCCTGAAGGGGGGGCGGACGAGGGAGCGCTGTCATATCGGATAGCCATCGGTGAGGGGCAGAGAAGCCGCCCCCAGGACGAGCTGTGTCGGCCGCATGGCGCCCTTGTTGCCATGGCGCCCTGTGCGGCCGCACAGCTCGCACACCCCTAAGGCCGGCCCTGGACATAGCTGTGCTCTTGAGCGACTGTGGCGTAAAATGAAATCTTTGCAAGACTTCACCCACTACAAACCTGCCTTCCTTGAATACAATTACTGTCACCATACCACCAAACCTATTTTGTCACTCTCATTACCACTCTATCACCCAGTTCTACTCAATGCCCTTCTACCTTTAACTCTCTACTTCATACTCCACCACCTCCTACCACTAACTCACTCTTTGCCAGGAGAGTGCCAATCATTTCAAAGATGAGATTGATGCAATTTGTTATGAGATATCCACTGCCCAGATCTCTCCCACACCTAATATTCCATGTCCACCCCCACATTCCATATTTTTCTATTTTCATCCTATAACTATGGATGAGATTGATGGATAACTTTTTTTCTAAGGTCCATTACCTGCCCCTTGGACCCCATGCCCTCCCCAACTACTACAATCACCCTCTTGCTCTATTCTACATTCCCTAACATCTTCAATCTCCCCTACCACTCTAAACAATGCACTGGTCGCCCCATAATTAATAAGCCCTCATTAGACCCTACAAGTTTAAACGCAAAGCCATCTCCCTACCATTTACCTACAAAAAGCCTTGTCCATGACTGCCTGAGTTACTACCTCACTGATGACAACCTCCTTGACCCCTTACAGTCTGGCTTCTGCCCACAACACTCCATTGAAAATGCCTTCCTAAAGCTTTTATTAGTCCCTCCACTCATGCCAGGGTGCTAGGTGTAAAACTGAACTTTTGCCTCTCCTCTTCAAATCAGTCATAATCTTGCCATTTAAACCTCCATAACAAATCCAAAATTGTACCCTTCTTAACAATGACCACCACTAAGCTGCTAAATAACTCCCTTGTTATTCTCGTTGCCATACCTCTACACAGACTATTCCCCCTTCAGTCTCTCAGTGGCCCCTCACTCCCCCTCACCCATTTGCTTCTGCTAGCACAGAGTATA